TTGAAACTATTCAAGTTCATCTAAGATCTCATATTTAATCAACACATATATAGAGACCCTTACCTCTTCCGTTGTCTTAATTCTCTAATTATTTAGAAATTAATAAATACGTAATTTTTCCTATCGTGTATCTTTGTAGTTAACTCTTTGCTTGAACTAATGAATGATATTAGCTTCGGATAGTTATATTGTGAAGCACATATTCCCATAATAATCTCTATAAAACATTCCATACCAGTATAGTTAAATGTGTTGTTGTGACTTCTTTTGGTTTCTTTCTTTAAAATATTCTCTCAGGACTTTCGACCAATCTGTTAACAACTTCCTTATAGAGACCGGCTTCACTTAGTGACCTTGACTACGAGATCGATAACGATAGTTAAGAAAATTTCAATAAAAAGGAGAATATATAATAATAATAATAATAATAATAATAATAATAATAATAATAATAATAATAATAATAAATCGATCTAATGAAATATCGGTCTAGCTCATCAAACAAAATACTATATATTACTATGATGTATCACACACTTAAACACACCAAGACACACCTCAATCAACAAATAAATTTCAAGTATTTTTCTAATTAAGTTCCCACACATTGCGACGCAGGCACACACTCGGAAATGAGGGTTGTGGGAAACTCCTGGTACTATTTATAATAAACTTTGAATCATTACAAGTATATTCAGAGGCTGATCAAAAAGTATCAAACAATAGGAGAATCTGATGGGTGATAACCAGCAACATAAATATGGGTCAAACATGAGTGGTGGACAGACATCAAAGGCCACTGTGATCCCAGCAAAGAAGATGCATGTGTCAACTATGATGGTTAAGACGATTGCATCGACAGCAAAAAGTTGTATCAAGAATAAGAATAAGATAAATCCTGGTGTTCATGGTTCTTGATGCTATGTAGATGATACATGATAATAAAGAAGTTGCACTATTAATTAGCTGCAGAAGTTTCTTTCAACTATTTTTCATATGTGTGTTAAGTGTGTTCGATTTGATTCCAGCTTCTTTGTTTGTAATCAACTGCAAAGCTATGGTTTTGTATGATTGTACCAATATTTATGTATACATGTAATTTTATATGATATAAATATATCAATTAATTTTACATTAGATTTATGTTTCCTCATCCACATATCCGTTGTTTGACATTATGTAATGTTGAAACAGTGCACTGGAAAGCATGCATGCATGTATAACTAATTTACAGTGAGAATTACCTTTAGGATAATTAACAACCAAAATTTGAATTGCTTTGAAAATATAAACATGGTACAACAAGGCAATCATTTATCACCTAAGGGAGTACGTATATATATTTTTCATGTGACTTACCGGTTTGTATTAAACAATAAATATATTTTGCTATATTTTTATTATGTAATGCAGTTTAAATATATATATATTTTATTTGTTATGGATCAGCCCATTTCAACTCTTAGACCCAACCGTACCCCTCAAATACCTATAGTATTATCAATGCTACTAGACAACTATACTTCTGACACCTTTAAATCCATTGAAGTTTGTCAGTAAATATTATTTGTGATGGATCTCCGACTGAAGCTGCAACAAAATTGAAAATACAATTTTCGTTAATTGGCAAAATTGTCGTAGTCTTCAAATCGGAGTTTATTGAATTCAAAATGTTTTGCATGAATTCACCTCATTTAATTCGGTTATTCCGGGTGAGATCCCTTGTGCCACTTCCTCTTAAGGATGTATTCCTCCTTCGTTTATTCGGGTGGAGAAGTGGGACTTCATGCAAAACGAACTATTTTATCTTTTCAAAACTCTTCAAGCAAACACCTACTTTGATTGATTCGATGGTGATTTCTGACCTTTGTCCCATAATTATCTTGTAGTTGTACTTATTTTTTAAATTAGTTGCGAGACCTATGTATTACATGAGTTATTTTTTTTTAAAAAAAAATTAGATATAAAAGTCTAAATATTTGAAAACTTCAAATTTATAAGAAAATAAGAAAAAAAACGCATTATTAAAATTAAAATATATTTTAATTTTAAATAAATAAGCAAACGAAATTAATGAGTTTTAATTTAGGAATTTTGAAATTAGAAGGTAAATCCAATAATAAAAATGATATCACTTTATAAATATATTTATTGTAATTATTATATTAAAATATTATATGAAATTTAATAAAATAAAAAACTCATCAAATGACATGTGAAAAAAAAAATAAACTCAAAATAAGAAAAAAAAAATGATATTTAATTAATTGAATGAAAATGTGATATGTGGCAAAAAAAAAAAAAAAAACCTTCATTACTATAATTGAATTATGATAAAATTTTATTTACATTATCCTATCTAATAATTGAAGGTTTTTTGTCACCATGTTATCATCCAATTCAATATGTCAAATGATATTTTTTAAAATTTTCAATTTCATTTAAATCCACTTGGCAAATTGTGATTCATTTGGCTTTGTTATTAAATTATGAAAAAATCTAATTTAAAAATATAATAAAGAAAATAAGAAAACTTAAATGTCACCATAAATTCGCATGCAATTTGTTAATTAATGTATTAAATTCAATCTAAATTCAAATCAACCTTACTAATTGAAAAACATAGTTTTCGGTTAATCCCTTTTGAATTCAGGATAATTTGGAGAAACCTTTTAAAAATTGGTTAATTCACGACTAATATTGATATTTTTTCCAAATTCGCTTTTGCAAATTATTAAACATGCAATGCTTAACAAAATAAATTATTTAAAAAACATGTGTATTACACGGGCTTCACACCTAGTTACACAATATTTAAAGGATCCTAATACCTTTTTACACCCATCAATGACTCAAAGAAACACACCATAGTTTCAAAATAGTAGCCGGTGTGAATGGAGTAGAAGTGGGTATCAGATCCAGTTAGGACCAAATTTAAAAGTAATTTGCCCACCGCTAGGTTGGAGGGGTTTCGTAGTTTCTGGTGATGGACATCGGTGCCACAATGCAACTCTTTATGATTAATTAGTGCGGTTATCGAACTGCACCAACAAATATTGTATCAAAAAATGTCCTTATTTAATGGTGCGGTTCTAAAACCGCCAAAAAAAAAAAATACACAAATCAGCAACAACAAACCTGTCTTGGAAAAACACAAAACCTCCCCAAAAGATAACACAAAACATCACTAAAAAATAGCTAGCCAAAATCGCATCAAAAAACCTTTCCAAATAGATTTCACAGTTTGTGCTGTAACTAAAACGCATTCAAACATATAATATGTGATATAAATTCCAAGATCTTTCTGCTTTGAATCTTTTTATTGTCAAGAAGGGTGACAATGATCTTCCCGGATTAACTGATGTTGATTACCTAGAATGAGAGATCCAAAAAGGGCATCAAAAATCCGCAAAAATTTTCAATCTCTCAAAGGAAGATTATGTTAGGAAGTATATCAGTACATAGAGAAGAACATTCGGAAACAAAACAAACCTGGTAAGTTCTTCCTTCTGTTACTTTTTCCTTTGGATGAGCAGAAAAAGTAAATGGATGGTGTTTTACATGTTATGAGTGCATGAAAGGAGGTTAGTAAAGAACAAAAGATATAGAGATTGGTTACTCCATTGACATTGGAAAGGAAGTAAGTAATAATTACACATAAAAAAAAGAAGAGAATTGCAAAACGAAAATTTGTGGAAGCTGAGTACCAAATTTTTTTTGGAGAGAGAGAGAGAGAGAGAGAGAGAGAGAGAGAGAGAGAGAGAGAGAGAGAGAGAGAGAGAGAGAGAGAGAGAGAGAGAGACTTTCTACAACATCTAAGCCTTCAACTGTAGCATAGATTAATGTTAGTAATTTTGATAAACGTACCTGCAAAAAATTCGTGAATTAGGATAAATGTACCTGCAACAAATTCGCAACAAATACTCAGGTTCAATTTACATTCATGGAAGACTATGAGAGCGGAGGAATCAATGAAAGAAATTAGGGGGGTTTATGATTTACCTGCTGCATAGATTGAAGGAGAAGGAAGAAGATGACGTGAGAGTATTTTTTGGGATGAACATTGTAAATTGTGATGTTTTTATTTTTTATTTTTTTGGGGAGAGATATAAGAGACGTAGTAAGCAGGAATGAAAAATTAGAACAGAATTTTTTACAGGGAATTCCCAATTTCTTGGTAGCCGGAATGAAAATATATCCAATTTCTTGGTGTGGTTTCCTTCGTTAATTGGTGTAGTTTAAAAAAAAAAAATAGTGATTTAATCAATGGTGCGTTTTACAAAAATTTACACCAAAAAAAATTGTGTTTTAATAGTTCGGTTTTGGTTAATAGCATCAATAAAGGCATTTTTAATTTCTTTTAATGTGGTTATATGAAAACCGCACCAAAAAAATACATTAAATAGTGCGGTTCTTTTGTTTAATGATGCGGAACTTATTTAATAATGTGGTTTTGTAGCTGAACCGTACCAAAAAAGAAAATGTGATCACACTATTAAATGGGTTTTGTACTAGTGACATATTATTATTATTATTATTATTATTATTATTATTATTATTAATAAGCATGCATGTATTTGAAATATATTAAATTGTGGAGAATGCGATATTTTGCAAAGTATTTGCTTAGAACTTTTGTTTTATAAATTGGTCCTAATAGAAGTCTTGGAAAATAACAAAGAAGATTAACCAAAATTTCAATAAAAAGGATACTACTAATAATCATCATCATCATCATCATAATCATAATAATAATGAAACCTTGTAAATCTGCTCAAAACTCCAACTCATCTTCAAAGAAAATACTATTACTATGATGTATCACACACTTACACACACCAAGCCACATCTCACTCAACAAATAAATTTCAAGTATATTCCTAATTAAGTTCCCACACATTGCCATGCAGGCACACACGGAAATGGAGGTTGTGGGAATTATCCTCCTGGAACACTATATAATAGACCTGATTAGTACTCTTATTTCTCATCACAAACTTTTAATCATTATAAGTATATTTAGAGGCTGGAAAAACTATCAAACAATAGGAGAATCTGATGGGTGATAACCAGCAGAAATATGGGTCAAGCATGAGTGGTGGACAGACATCAAAGGCCACTGTCATCCCAGCAAACAGGAAGCATGTGTCAACTATGATGGCTGAGAAGATCGCAAAGGTGACTGCATCAGCTGCAAAACATATCAAGAACAAGAATAAGATAAATCCTGAGCATCATGATTCTTGATTGTATGTGATGCATAATTAAACAAGTTGCACAAATTTGTTTGCTGCAGAAACTTTCTATCATCTATTTTCATGTTTATGTGTTTTGTTTTATAATTACAGGTCATCCCAAAATTGAACCTGCAGAAGTTTCTATGGTGGTGGTTAATATATGTATGTTAAGTATGCGTTCAATTAGGTTCCTTAATTCTTTGTTTGTAATCGACCCCAAACCAATGTTTTTGTGTATCAATATTTGTGTGCAATATATATTATATAAATATCTGTTGTACTTCTAAATTAGCCTTATGTTTCTTAATTAATCCTATTATGCGTTGTTTAACACTATATTTTGTTGAAAAAGTTCGCTAGAAAACATGCATTTACCTTTAGAAAATTAAAATTTAATATTTGCACGAAATATGTCTTACTGATCGAGTTGTCATTATTTCATTTATTTATATATTTATTATTATTATTATTATTATTATTATTATTATTATTATTATTATTATTTTACCAGCAATGGAATTGTGTTTATTGTGTTGGGCTCCTTTTGATAATAACAACATAATTAATTTTCGGCTCCATTGATGTTCTTAGACTAGTGTTTCAACCAGGGGTGTTCACGGTCCGGTTTTTTTCGTTTTAGGTCAAACCGAAGCCAAACAGTTACTAATGGTTTTTGTCAACCTAAAACCGAACCCGAACCGTTGAAAATTGAAAACCCAACCATACCAAACCGTCACTAACGGTTTGGCTCCGGTTTAGTTTCACGGTTTGGGCTTTTTAGGCCCATTTTAATCGAGTCCATTAAACTAATTTTGAAAAAAAAAACTGCACTATTAAATGTATTAAAACAGTTAAAATTCTACAAAATATTGTTAAAATACTGCAATATTAAAGCTGCCCAAACAGAAAAATTCTGCCCAATACTGTTAAAAAAAACTATAATATTAAAATTGTCAAAACAGCAAAAAAACTACCTAATATTGTTAAAAAATCCAATAATTAAATATTGTGGGTTTTAAAGTTTATTATTTGTATATAAAAATTAATATATAATACAACAAAATACAATTACATATAAAAAAGTTAATTAATATATATATATATATATATATATATATATATATATATATATATATATATATATATATA